AAAACGCCAGGCACACGTTTCACACTTAATAAACTGTACAAATAACTGAACAGAAACATAGAAGTAAATTAAGTTCATATTTGTGGGTGTAATTTTTTTTTTTTAAATCAATGGTTTTATTTCATAGCATTTAAATGTATTCCTTTTAAAAAATTTGCCAAGTTCGCTGTGATATTTTCATTTACTCCGAGCTGTCTCATGGAATAATAATAGTTATATCCACCCTCTAGCTCTGTACCTACGACAGTTAATTTTTACGTTTTTTTTAATTATTGGAAGAGAGGGAACGGATCAAATATGACAAAAGACAATATACCCTCTACATTACGAATAAATGAAAGAGAAGGAACGGATTAAATATGCCAAAAGAAAATATACCCTCTACATTACGAATAAATGGAAGAGAGGGAACGGTTCAAAAATGACAAAAGACAATATACCCTCTCCATTACGAATAAATGGAAGAGAGGGAACGGATCAAAAATGACAAAAGACAATATACCCTCTCCATTACGAATAAATGGATAAGAGGGAACGGTTCAAAAATGACAAAAGACAATATACCCTCTACATTACGAATAAATGGAAGAGAGGGGACGGATCAAAAATGACAAAAGACAATATACCCTCTCCATTACGAATAAATGGATAAGAGGGAACGGTTCAAAAATGACAAAAGACAATATACCCTCTCCATTACGAATAAATGGAAGAGAGAGAACGGATCAAAAATGACAAAAGACAATATACCCTCTCCATTACGAATAAATGGAAGAGAGAGAACGGATCAAAAATGACAAAAGACAATATACCCTCTCCATTACGAATAAATGGAAGAGAGGGAACGGATCAAAAATGACAAAAGACAATATACCCTCTCCATTACGAATAAATGGAAGAGAGGGAACGGATCAAAAATGACAAAAGACAATATACCCTCTCCATTACGAATAAACATTAGAGAAGCCAATATCTACTATATCTTTCTATAGTCATGACAGGTTGAGATAAGTTTTAACTTTCAGTATATGTGACAAAGGCCATGAATCACACGGGAATCACTGAGTATAAATCCCTCGTCTTCGAAACTCATTCATATCAACTTCAAACAGACAGAAATTGAGTCGTTCACCAATGAACAAGTGATTATTCAGTAGAGTCGAAATTGCGTAGGAATGTTCGTTTTGGAAAAGGCTTCCTGCCATCAAGTCTCCAGTGTCGGTTTTCGAAACAGAACGAGGCTTGGAATTAGTTCTCGCATTTTCACACGAGAAGCGAGACTTTTACACGTAACGGAATCGTAGATGGTTAGTAAACTAAATTGAAAAGGAAGAGAGGTCATTCCCTTTGGGTTTTGACAGTGCATCACGTGGATGGGAAGAACGCCAAGTCAAATAAAGAATTATTACACAGCCGGAATGATTTCTACTTTAAAATTGCAGAGAATAGATTCTCAGTCTTAAAAGCTAATAATAATAACAAGAACAAGAACAAGTAAAAGAAGAGAATTATAATAATAATAATAATAATAATAATAATAATAATAAGAAGAAGAAGAAGAAGAAGAAGAAGAAGAAGAAGAAGAAGAAGTGGTTGAAGAAGATAACTAAGATATAAAAAGAGAATAATAAAAGATGTTATATACCATACCTATGAAAACTAATGGGTATGTCCAAATTTTCATAAATACGTTGGGCACTATTGTAAGTGGTTGGTTGTAATATACTGTCTAAGTAGTGCACCACTAGCAGTGGTTTACCTACTTGACGCTGCTGGCGAGTATTGTATTTTGTTGATGTTATAAAATTACCATTTTATTTCCAACCTCCGTTTTGGTTATTCCTTATTCAGTAACCCTTTTTAGGTTACAATAAAAGAAGAAAAATAATAAGAAATGTGGTGGAAGAAGGTAATAATGATATGCACAGAAAATAATAATAATAATAATAATAATAATAATAATGAGAAGAAATAGTAGTTGTGGAAGAAGATAACTATGATATAATAAGAGAATTATAGAAGTGGTGGAAGAAGACAACTACGATATAAACAGAAAATGATAATAATAATAATAATAAGACGAAGAAGAAGAAGAAGAAGAAGAAGAAGAAGAAGAAGAAGAAGAACAACAACAACAACAACAACAACAAATAGTAGTAGTAGTAGTAGTAGTGATTGCGGCGGTGGTGGTGGTGGTGGTGGAAGAAGAAGATAATTATCATATAAACAGGAATTAATATAATAATAATAATAATAATAATAATAATAATAATAATAATAATAAGAAGAAGAAGAAGAAGAAGAAGAAGAAGAAGAAGAAGAAAAATAGCAGTAGTGCAGTAGTAGTAGTGCTGGCGGTGGTGGTGGTGGTGGTGGTGGAAGAAATAGATAATTATGATATAAACAAAAAATAATAATAGTTGTAGTTCACCACCAGTTTACATGAATTTGCTCCCGAAACAGACAAATATTTTTATAAGAGTGGATTCTCTTTTCGTTTACGTCTCAAATTTTTGGACCATATTAGGAATCAATTTTCTATTCTCTTTTTTAAATCTCTATATTTTTTATTGATAGATATAAACAAAAAAAAAACAAATAAAAATAAAAGTAACATGTTTTTTTACATAACGGCGTTCAGAAACTAATTACATATTTCTCCGCTATAAACCAAGCTCGGGAAAAAAAAGATCGATTGATAACAAATTGCATCTTGAATTAATTTATCACTTCTTCTATTAAGGTCTTCAGAAAATAATTACGTATTTTCCAGCCATGAATCATGAGGTAAGCAACGATATCAAAACCAGAGTTGGACGTTACGAAACTCATTACTTCATGATTATTTCTATCTGAGAGTTTTGCGTGTATTTTAATGTTCATCTTTTTTGTATTGTCAGTCAGTTATATGCCATACGTGATACACGCCTAAGCAATCATTTATCTTTCGATACATGATTGACGAGGCAGATTTTTTCCCGCAGTAGGTTGCCATTTCTTTCTGCGGTAGGCCAGTTGCCATCCAAGGCTATAGTTTGTCCTGCTATTTACCCATAGCTGGGCGGGAAGGAGAGGATCCATACCTTTCCCAAGCACGTAAATGAATGTAACTGACTTGATTGGAATTCGAACTCGGCTCTCCGATTACTCGATCCGAGTCGCTATCCATTACTTCACCGTGCCTCCATTCAGTTATATGCCATGCGTGATACACGCTTAGGCGATCATTTATCTTTCGATACATGACTGACGAGACAGATATTTTCTCGCAGTAGGTTGCCATTTCTTTCGGCGTTACCAGTTGCCATCCAAGGCTATAGAACCCAGCCTGTCCTGTTATTTACCAAAAACTGGGGGGAGAAGAAGAGGAATCATACTTTTCCCAAGGGTATTACCATGTAAGTGAATGTAATGGATTTGACTAGAATTCGAACTCGGCTCTCCGTTTATTCAATCCGAGCCTCTATCTCTTATTCCCCCGTTCCTCCTTTTGTATTGTACGAATACTTTTTTCACCCATTAAATTCAATAAATGGGATTTATTTGTATTAAATCAATTTTTCTCTGTTTTCTATGCATATTTAGTTATTATGCATATGTATACAGTTAATTATATCAAAAGTATGTTTATTCATTAATTGGAAATAGAATAAATTAAAAATTTGTATATACAGTGTAACCCGGATATAAGAGAGTTCTCGGGACCGGAAAAGAAGTCTCTTATATCCGGGTTTCTCTTATATCCGGGTTTGGTCTATTTTATATACATTAACACAGGCTCTAATTTGGGACTAGAGAAAATCTCTCATATCCGGGTTTCTCTTATATCCGGGTCTCTTATATCCGGGTTACACTGTATATGAATATTTTTCCCCGGCTGTATATGCCTGCCAAACATTCCTTCCCTCAGCATTCATGAGAACAATACCTCACTCGAATCTAGCTTTAAAATTAGGATAGAATTTCTTAAATATTTTTTACTAACCATGAACATTAAACTTATGTTTTAATTCAATAGAGTATCAATTCATACACAATAAATAATTATAAAGCTTGATATTTTTATTATTTGACTTTTATATTAACTGTGATGAAAAAAGAAGCTCAGCCAAGGTATTTCCACGAGTTAATGTGGAAGACAATTCAGGGAAACACTGCAAAATAAACCCTAAAAACATAAGATCGTTAGAATGGGGGGAATATCCACATTCTCTTTACCAGATATAGAACATAGAATACTTCTTAAGTATCTGAATACTGAAAGATAAAGCGTAAGTTGAAAATAATATATTTAATGGGTAAAAAAAAACAGATTTATTTAAGCGTGGGATGGAAAACATGTTTTCTCATTAGACTGCATTCGATGAAAATGAATGTACTTCCATGTTTTCCCACTGGGCTAGATTCGTTGAAAATGAAAATGCTTACATTTTTGATAAATGATATTTAGATAGATTTAACTTAATATTTGTTCTTAATATCCTTTCTGGTAATACGTAATTATTTTCAGAGCCTCTAATATAATAAGACACTTTTTATCATTTATCATCCTGTTTCAAATATTTCCATATTGAAACCTGATTTTTATTGTATTTTTCATTGGTTACATATTTTAATCTTTTATCATTGCGTGATTTTTCCTCAACTATGTTTGAACAGAATCTACACAATTCCGTAAATTCAAATGAAGGCTAATCAAATTAATCACCATAAGATTTGCAATATTTTTTTATTATTTCAAAACAATTCCTTTTATCAGAATATATGGTATTTCGCAATGAAAATCTTTCTGCCACAAGAGAACTTACAATAATGGTATTAATTACGTTTTGGACTTTTTTTTTCTACAGTTATTATGATCTTATTGAGGTAATTCTTGGTAAATAATCCCGGAGGTCATTAACACAGATCTTCTGGTGAAATTGCTTATAGAATAAATCTAATTTTCAGTTGCTATTTAGTGAACAATAACTTCATCAATGATCCAAGAATCTGGGGGTTTACGGCCATATCACATTGAAACACCGGTTCACGTATGATCATGTAAGTTAAGCAACGTCGAGCCTGGTCAGTGCCTATATGGGTAACCGCTTGTGAATACCAGGCTCTATAAGCGTGAATGTGCGGACGGTATAGCTTATGGCCATGTCACGTTGAGACACCGGTTCTCGTACGATTACCGAAGTTAAGCAACATTAAGCGTAGTACCTAAGTGGGTGACCACTTGGGAATACCAGCTTGAATTTGTGGATGGTGTAACGGCTCAGAATTGATAATCGTACAGCCAAGTTCAAATTCTACTCGGGTTCATTATATTAACTTACGCACAAGTATCTTTGGCAAATGTATGTATCCACGTCTTCTTTTCCCCAGCTATGGGTTAATTAGTAAGAGTGGTATCAGTAAAATCATTATTATGTCCAAAAAATTCTTACAATCTAAAAATATTTTCTAGTTTTAAATAACCTGCAAATAAGCCATAAAAAATCAATCCATCAACGTCAAGAATCTGGCTTAAGAATATTTACCAATTTCTGTCTTCTGTTAATTTCTTGGGAATTCACATTGCTCGGACTATCATCCTCATCTTTGTTGCCATATTTATCTCAACCTTTCGGCCGTTGTACGCTCCAGCCTTCTTCAGGTGGTTGGAATGTCGAACTGAACCCTTTATTTCGCTCGCTGGGGTAGACTGTTCTAGTTCCACGTGGCATGTCTAATGGATGTCAGTTATCAGTTATCTCCTGTTAATTCCCCTCCCCAAGTTCTCCACTGCCTTAACCAGGTATTGAACTCACACTCTTTGGGTCTTGTCACTGGATCTAACCAATGCCTTTATCCATTGTGCCATGTGTCCTTGGGGAAACGTGATAAATATGGCAACAAAGATGAGGATGATAATCCGTGCAATATAAATAGTGTACATAATACCTCATCTCAGAAATATAGACAGATTCTTGGGAATTGTTTCTTGCTTTTAGAATATCACTATTCATCGATTTCATTTTCATCTTTCCTCTTATTGTATCCAATAGTATATGCCCAGAAAATCTCTTAGATTTCTAATTTTCAGCAGACATAATATTCGCAAGCGCTTTCAAAGAAATAACATCATATGTTTTCTTTTCATAGGTACTCATAGGTACCTCTAGTACCTTGAATTATATTTTTACTAATTTTTCAGTTCGTAGTAGATAAATTTCATGCTTAAAAAGCCTTTGAAACTAAAGTCCATTCTTCAAGCATTTCTATCATGATGGCTACATCGGTGTAGATATAAATTTATTCGTTAAAGAGTATATTTTAATCTATTCACTCCAAGCTAAGCTATAATCCCACTAAGACACAAGGGGCTATTGGGAATCAAAGAGAATGGAAAGATTTTAGAAGGAACCGGAAGCCCAATCCTAAACAGGAAACCAGGAATAAACATGAAAGTGTGTGAACCGGACGAAAGGCGAACCTATCTTTTGACAGCAAATATGTTTCTTCAAGCATGTTTTTCATGATGACTACATCATGGCGTATATAAATTTCTTTATGAGAGATTATTTGACAGTGAAGTCGTGTCTTCGAACACGTCTCTCGCGATGGCTGCATGGGTGTAGATATAACTTTCCTAGTTAAAGAGGATTTAAAATTAAAGACGTTTTTAAGCACATCTCTCATGATGAATGCATTGGTGTGGATATAAACATTCTTGGTTAAAATATTTTGATATTAAAGAGTTTTTTTAAGACATAACTATTATAATGGCTAAATTGTGGTAGTTAATTGGGAAGAAGCTACATGGAACGTCCTCCTAACTAATAAAATATGAAGAGAATGATGATGAGATGACTCAATGTACGTAGCCTAGCAGATCTGGAACTAAAGAATGTAATTCATCTTAACATCTGCCATGAAAATATTGATAGAGCAACGAGAGGTTAGCAACATTTCGTTTGTTAGAAAGTGGTTGTTCGGTGGAAGACAAAAATTGTCTGGCACGACATGATGAACTAATTTTCCTATCAGTAAACCTAGCAATTCAATATAATCACTCCGCTCCATTTCAGTGGGAAACGTGAGGTCAAGAAGACGCAATGAGTTGCACTCCTGGAAGTTATCATTAACTATGCTCCAGTTCGTCTTTCTTGCCCCAGTTAACAACTGATTGAAGTGATTATATATTATTTCATTTATTTTATCAGTTGTTTCTGTAGTGATATTCTGTTTGCGTTCTTTCAGTTGCATTACGCATCTATATATATATATGAAATTGTAGCTTGTCTGTTTGTTATCGAACTCCATCTAGGGTTTTGAAGATAGACCCATAAGCATATATATTCTGAAACTACATTACCCAGGGGACTTGGATATTTATATTTTATTTTGATCAAAGTGAGTCCCTGGGGTGGGTGGATTTTGGTGTTACAAACGCCCCACTGATTTTTTTCCCTTTGATATAAATTAAATTTAAATTTGAACAAGGGAATGACCCATACAAAATATAGGAGAAAGCCAGAAGATGGAGGTCATATCGGCAAGATCAAAATGAGACAATATAAACGTCAATTTGAGAAAGAAATTACCAATCAGTGCATTTCATTATATAAATTTTTGTGACAGTTCAACTGTCATATCAATGTTGAAACCTGCTCATCAGTTGCATCAAATACATATCAAACAGGTCAGATCAAGCTGTTTTCGCACGCACACACACACACACACACACTATTTTTTTCCTTTGAGTTAAATTAAATTTAAATTTGAACAAGGGGATGACCTATGCAAAATATAGGAGGGGAAAGCAAGAAGATGGAGGTCACATCGGCAAGATCATTGAGTAATATTGAAATGCATCATATTTCACCACAAATTATAACAATGATTTAAAATTAATTTTCTTACAAAAAATGTGTAACACGCAGCAAGGCGCTGGTAATTTGGTTAGTATATTATATTTGAAGATAACTGGCTGTTGATTTATTTGTCTGTATGTTCATGGCAATTGCTCTGATGAGTTCTCCACCTTGGTACTTCGACCGCATGAAGAGTACTGCTAGATTGGCAACTAGGTCTCATCTTTTCTACTGACAGCAAGGGAAGTGATTGTTACGAATCAAATGTCCAGTCCGCTTCTAAGAAAGTTGCTTTTCTCTGTCGTACCAGACAATATTTCTTGACAGTATCCATCTTGCATATTTATAAACCTATTGCATTGAATATTACTGTCATACTTGGTCTGATGTTCCTGCTCTCTATCTCTAGACAAAATCCAAAGAAGGGTCTCTAATGTCATCGATCCTGATCTGGCATTTCGACTTCAGTTATTTTCCCGCCGCCTTGACGTGTCTTCCTTCCGCCTTTTTTCCTTATTTTCATGGACGTTGTTCGAATGAGCTCTCCTCCTTGCTACTTTGACCGCATGAATTTACGAGTATTACTGGATTAGAATCTAGGTCTTATCATTTTACTGTTGAAATAGCTAGATCCAACCGCATCTTCTATTCTAATAGTTCCTTCCCATGTAATTATCGCCATTGGAATACGCTTTTGATTTAAGAAGAGTCATTTTATCATGTTGCACTGTTTAGTAGCTTCATTACAAATTAACATTAATTTGTCAAAGATTTTCCTTCACCCTGATCTTGCCCTCAGGACGTCGGCAATCATACCTCTCCACAACTTCCTTTCTGGTTCTAAGAAATCCTTGTCTCGTTGCTATCGCTCTCAATCTCTTGACTTCAATCCGTTTACACAAGCTCGTTAGATAAGTTCATTATAGTTTCCTTCTGGCTCTCTTTCGATCAATATGTTCTTGAAATTCTCCGAGCCATCTTTGTGTGTCCAGGAAACTTAAATTGGATTTTTTTCTGATCTCAAACTCATGTTTCCCTTTCATTTCCATTTACCTTAAAACTTTCTCATTGATCACATGTTCTGGCCATGATTTTCTCAGCATCCTTCTGTAGAACCAAATCTCAGTTGCTTCAAGTCTCCTCTTCATTTGTCATTCCTTAATTACGAACCTAGAAAAAAAGCAAACAAACGCAATACGGGATGAAAAAATTGCAAATAATTTTATAAAAGTTACTGTTATTTTATCGTTAAAATGTCATTGTTAGTATTAGGAACAGGGGTCGGGAACTTTTTAGAGAGAACGAGCCAGAAAGCTATGCATTGTCTCCAAGGAAGGCCATGCTATTAACTGTACTATAATGAACTGTCTCGGCCTCATACCGCTCTGTTCAGAAGGTTGCTTTGGTCTGAAGGTTTAAAGAAAAAAACAACGAAATTAATGTTATATTATTTAAACAAATTTCCTTATTTTACTGCAGAAATAACAGGACAACAACTAACACAATCAACAAAAAATACACATTTCTTACTACAAATGAAATACAGCTAGAAATGGCAAATTATTTCATGAGCCATATGTTTCTGCTTATAGTTCAATAACTTCTCTACATCAGGTGAAATATTTGTCGGCATCAGGCGCAAAACATCATCCAGGTGGTCATCACCCAACCTTGTTCGAAAAAAACCATCGTGTTGAATTGGGATGACTAAATCTCTATTTCATGAGCCGGGCTGCTAAAACACGTCCGAACGATATCGTTGGAAAGGGGAAAGAGTTCAGTCGTCAGTGGACCAGTGAAACTAGCATGTCCCAGTGGGAACGTAATTACCACATGGTTTTCATCTTGAGGAAAAAGAGAAAGATTCTCTCCTTTCCAGAAGTGGAGACATAAAATCGTACATGTGATCAGAAACTCTTTCCAGTTTCTTTATAATTTGCATCATGGGAAAATGAATTTATTTATTTGTTATTATTATTTTATTTATTGGTTTTATTTCCTTTTCCCCGCACTAGTTGGGGGGGAGGGGCTTCAGGCAGAAATAGATGTATTATGGTGGCTACAGTACGAGCGAAATGTGCAGATGTGATACAAATGGTGAAAGGACAATTATCAGAGGTTTAGGTCAATGAGTGTCACTAGCTAAGGTTAAAAGATAGGACAATGAAGACCAGACCTCCTCATCCTATTTTAGGCTTGTGTCACATTTTCTTTATTTTTCAGAAATAAATATTGCCATATTCAAAACTAAAAAGTTATGATTTAAATCAGGGTTCGGTAACCTTTTGGAGTGAGAGGGCCAGAAAGTTATGCAGTATCTTGAAAGAGGGCCATGATATCAAATATCCTATAATAAATTGTCTCTGCTTCAGACCGCTCCTTTCGGAAGGCTT